AGGCTACTGAGTTACTCCAAGTGAGTGAAGGCAGTTGCTGCAATGTTTGAAATGTACTGATTTGCTATGCAGCCTCCATTTAACACACTGTGGATGCTTGTTTATTGAATTTATGAGCTGTTTAGAAGACATTTTATATGATAGTTATTATAACGCCTCCAGTAAGTCTGATGAGAGTGGAATCCAGTAGAAAATATTCAAAGAGGTTCAAAATGAATATCCTGGCTTATTCCTGCAGACTTCTTATCTCAGCCTGACTAGTAGGAATTTACACTATCATATCACACATAATAAAATGCATGTTGAAAATGTGATTCTAAAATAGAGACATTTCCTATGAACATATCTCTGTTCTCTGAGACCTTCTTGTCTCCTTGGTACTTCCTCGACCTCCTCCTGTGTACACAGCTTCTATTAGAGGAAGCTCAACAAATGAAACAATTAAATAATCAACACAAAACACATTTCCTGCCACTCCTGTTCTAAAAGATGCCAGAGAGGCTCTCATCCAACAGTCCACTAAGAGTGGAACAAAATCTGGAATTTTGCTGTACAATGGAAGACATTTTCTATTTCTTCAGGTTATGAGCACATTAAACTACAAAATCAGTACGAACCCTCAAAAGTCAGTACAATGTGTCAGCTATGGCCCTCTGTATCTGTAAAACTTCTATTAAAGATATTTGTAGATTACAGATCAATAAAAATTAGCAAGTTCAAAAAGCCAGTTGCTCATGAAATAAGGTCAATTTAAAGCAGCATTATTTACAACAGAATAACTTTTTTAACTTGGAAAAAAAAATCCTTCACACTTTAACTGAAACATACTTTGTATGCCTGTCTGCTGAGTGAAGGATACTATCAAAGGAGTCAAAGGATAAGTTAAACTAGAATAAAATGTTTTCAAAATCAGAGCCAGTATGTGACTGATACCCAAAATATACAAAGAATTCAAGTTAAATAAAACAAAATGAAACAAACAAAAAACCCAGTCTGATTTAAAACCAAGCATAAGGCCTTAACAGAACCTCAACAAAGATTTATACATGACGAATAAACATAAAAATGTGGTTCCTGACTCTATGCCAATGAGGAAATACAGAGTAAAAGGATGTGATGCCATTATCCTGCACATCTCAGGATGGCCCAAATTGAGAACACTGACAACTCCAAAGACTGGTTAGAACCACTAGCAACAGAGGCCCTCAACCTTTAGGGTGAGAATGCCAAATGGTATGGCCATCTTGGAAGACAGTTTAGCAGTTTCTCATAAAAAGTGAACTTTTTTTTTTTTTTTTTAACCACATGAGCCACCAAATTATATTTGTGTGCATTTACTAACTGGAGTTGAAAACTTGTTCTCACACATAAATAGGAGCATGGATATCTATAAGCAGCTTATTTGTAATTGCCAGAACTAGGAAGCAAGCACGATGTCCTCCAGTAGGTAAATAGGTAAATTGTTATACATCTGAATAAAGAATAACATTCAGCACATGAATACAGCAAGCTATCAAGCCAAAACCAGATATAAAGTAATCAAAATGTATATTATTAAGTGAAAGAAGACAGTTTGGAAAAGCTACATACTGTATAATTTCAATTTCATTGCCTCTGGACAGAGTGAAAAGATCAGTGCTTACCAGGAAATAGTAGAGGGAAGGATGAATAAATAGGGAAATAATTCATTGTAATAGGAATTATTGATACTGTAATGGTAAATATATACCATAAACTTGTCTATACCTATAAAGAATAAAATATTACTAATTACTGATTTTGCATGATAAAGATATGTTATGGTAGGTGCATTAATTGTAACAAATGTAGCATGTAATTGTACTTCATTGGGTTCTTATATTTACCACCCTATTCCACCTTATTCCACCCTAATCCCTTCCAACACTGGCTCCTCAACACATGGTAAGAGAGAAAGAAGGAAGGTTAGAGGGAAGGGGGCATAGACCTCTTTAGACTACTTCCTGCTTATAGGGGCATAGAGGGCCCTAGAAGGCAAGTCCAATCTTCTTGTCAGAGTACCCAGCAATCCAGAAAACGAGCAATCCAGCAATAACAAATGCAGCAACAAGGACCAGCAGCAGCTGCCCCAGACCCTCTCAGTGCTCTCCCATTTATACCTTCTCCAGAGTCCCCAGAATTAAACTATGTGCAGCTGGCAAAAATCACACCTTTCCTAGGGCACAAGACAATCATAGTTAATGGCTATGGACAATCTGAAGCAGCCCCATATCCCACACCTGGGATTAAAACAAAAACATATTCACATAACAAAACTGGGTTTTTAAAGAAACCAAACTTCTCATTACAGCAGTACACTTACAGGAGATAACGCTTGGCTTGAGCTTAGCCTGTGTGAGGACAGGGAAATCTTTACTTTCTGCTTAGTTTTTCTGTGAACCTAAAACAGCTCTTAAGAAATAAGTCTTAAAAAACATTGGGTTTGACTATATAAGCTTCAAAAATATGTGATCAAAATTAAAAGCTGTATTGTAAACACATTAAGAACATTGTGAGAAAAAAAGTCCTTAACACATAAAATCTCATGAGTAAAGAGAAATAGATATAATCTCTAGAAACATGGAAGGAGACAGCATTAACCTCCAGCTGAACCTCCAAATATATCTTCCCTTTTTTTCCATTAAACAGAGAGCTGGGCAGAGGGCCACCCAGCTAGAGAGCTTATCATATAACTTCTCTTGTGGTTATGTGTGGCCCTATAACTTCAGCTGCTGCCAAAAGAATGTAAGTTTAAATATTGTTTACAACTTCTTTCTCACTTAACATCAGATTATTTGCTTTTAATCAACCCCCTCCCCAACACTGTATCTTCCTTGCCAGGAAATGGAATGTGGATTATTTTTGTCAGGCCAATAATTATAACACAAGGGAGATGATGGAATAGTGTGATTTAAGAAAACTTTGTGTCTGAAATTACTGTGGTAGCCAAGGATATTATGCAACTCTAGGCACGACCAATATTATCCTGAAACCAGAACTATGACTACAGGGAAGAGAGCCTCGCAAGATCCAGCCTATTGACCTTCCTTTCCACAAAGAATGGGGGAAGGTAACTGGACCTCACCTGAGACCATACTCACTCTCCATCCTACGCACCCCATTCTTCACCTGTACACACTTCTGCCCAGCTACATATGGTTATGGGAGGTGACACACTACATAGAAGGTTAGCTGAAGGAGGGACCCATCTTCGAATAAGAGGCCATCCCCCATGCTGAATTGTGATGCTTAGTGATGCAGCTGTCAATGAGTCATTCATATTCCCATAGGCCACCTCACACACTCTCCTGTAAGTAAGCCAACAACCTCACTGGCTCACCAACCCAGACCTTTATGGGATTGTTTCTTCAGTCCATCATCAGTGCCTATCTTGAGTGAATGTATGTTTGTTACTCTCTGCACAGAAAAAGTAATATAACAAGTGACTACTTATTATATAAGAAGAAACTGATGGTTTGGTTTTCTTATGCCACCTACTTAACCTGCCTCATAACAAACAATAAAAGAACACATCTACTGAGAGGGTAAGTACCATGTGAGGACTTTCTCCTAAGATACAATAAAAGTCAATTAAAACAATCATGAAATCTGTTGGTGAGATTATACACACAGTGAAACTGAAAAGAATAACAAAATTGATGAAATCTAGTTTTAAACAAGCATTTGAAGAAAGCAACATGTACATATTGAAAATGTAAATTAATACATTTTTTGATGAAAATAACTATACCAGACTGCAAAGACAGAAGAATAGCACCCTGCAGGCTAAACCAAGAGGACCACCATGAGTCTGAGGCCAGCCTGGGCTGGAGTGTGAGATTCTGTCACATGCAAGAAAACCAAACCAAAATACCTACCCGCCTACCTGCCTACCTACCTACCTACCTACCTACCTACCTACCTACCTACCCACCCACCTACCTACCCACCTACCCACCTGCCCATCCACCCATCTACCTACCCACCTACCCACCTGCCCACCTACCTACCCACCTGCCCGCCTACCTACCTACCTACCCACCTACTTACCTACCCACCCACCTACACACTACCACCGCCACCAAAAAACAAATTAAAATAATATTCTGGAAAAGTGTTTATTAAAAAAATGATATAGTTCAGTAAAGAAAATTCGTGATCTCTGAACTCCATTGTAAGAAAAAGATTTTGTACACTGTTAAGAGTTATATTACAATTTTGTTAGTGTGCTGAGTTCTGGGTAATTTGAAAATTACTTCGCCTTTCTGTGTCAGTTAACTTATCGGTAAAGAGTGCTTTCCTATGATTGGTGCTTTGTTCACACTGAGTCAGATTTTAATAGAAAATGAACTCATCTGTTTATGCCTTTAGTCTGATCATCAGAAGCATGGCTGCCTTGAGCTGACAATTTCCTACAGGTGCCCTGAACCCTGATTTCTTCCACACTTTCTATTGAAATAACTTTTAGTAGCTGAGAGAACTTTGAATTATTTATTCCCCACAATTTCTGGAAAACACAAAAACCTCTAGCTTTTTAGAAATTGTTTCATTCAAAAATTTATGCACATTTGGTATTTAACTTGTAGTAAAACTTTTTATTTTACTAAAACATGGCTATTCTAATTTAAAGAGTTAGTGTGCCCAATCCAGGTCCACTGCCCCAAATTAGCCATATTTGTTTTATAGCTTTGTCTAGTTGCAAAGCACACATATAATAAAATAACATAGGCTAGGGGTCAAATCCTAATTATGCCAGCTCTCCATCCTTTGAGGCCAGGAAAGTTAGTTAAGGTTCCACTCAGTCTTCTACACAGGGAAAAGCACAGAGCGATGCTTAGCAGAGTTTGAGTGCCTGCTGAATATGTGTGCCTAGCAATGTAACCAACACTTCCATCTCACCTTGTTTGCCATTACAACATGATGAAGCACATTTGTTGTTAATTCCTATTCAACCAGTTTCACCCTAGCAACTGAGCATATACCTGTAACTGTGCTTTCCTTAGTTGCTGGCTGGTAATTTGAGCTTTCTGTTGCATCATATTTTCAATCCGTTGATTGACTTGCTTTTCCTTCTTGAGCTCATTTCCATAAAATTTGGACCCCTACAGAGAAAACAGCACATAAGAAAAGTATCAGAAGGAAAGGATCCTTGTAGTCTGTAACTTAGTAGATAACAGTGTAACTAGAGTCAGACTGAATTCAAAAGTGAGTTGGGCAATCTGAAAATTACTTCACCTTTCTGTGTCAGCTTCCTTATCTGTAAAGAATGCTTCCCTAGCATGTATGAGGCCATAAATTCAGCAACACACACACACACACACACACACACACACACACACACACTTGCCTATATCATGTAATTCTTGTGAGGCAATACTACATAGAAGCAATATGAGTTAATATTGGTATTAAAAAACAAGACAACATCAAAGAAACCGTCATCTGTGACAGGGCCCACATGGCATATTCAAGCCTCGCCACCCTGTTCATCAGTTATCTCCTTTGTTTGTCTCCATTCAGATTCAGTAGTAAATCATTAAAGAAGACATACAAGCCATGGAATCAATTCTCAATTATTTCACCACTGAACACAGTGGCCATCAATTTATCAGGTTGCAGGCACTGAGTTATTTTAATACTTGACTGTCTGTAGAGATTTATAACCAGGTTTGCGAGGGCACACATTGTCATTCCTCTTAATATGCATTTAAGAGGATATTTCTGTGTCTAAGGAAATGCATTTTAACCTTCTGTTTAACTGTCAAACTGATCTCTGTGACTGAATCATTACTCTGTCACTGCATACAACAGTTCCAACTTTCCCATACCCTGCCATACATTACAGCTGTTATATTATAGCTATTCTGGCTCATAATAGAGTGAGTGACATCTCCCTGGGGTTTTAAAAGTTGCATTTTCTTAGTGACTAGTGTTGCTGAGTATCTTTTCATGTTTGAGACACATACAGGTCTTCTTCACTTAAATGCCTATTCATATCCTTTGACAATTTTTTAAAAGATATATTTATTTATATGAATGCTCTGTCTTTATGTACATCTGAAAATTAAGAGAAAGCATCAGATCCCATTACATATGGCTGGGAGCCACCATGTGGTTGCTGGGAATTGAACTCAGGACCTCTAGAAGAACAGACAGTGCTTTGAACCACTGAGCCAACTCCACCTTTGACTATTTTTTTTTTAACTTAGTTGTTAGAGCTTCACAGTTACCTCAACTTGGCAAATCCAAACATTCAGAAACAGTCTTTTGGTGCAGTTTTGATATGGTCCTATATAAATTCATATAATAGACGGAGAGATATAAATAAACAAAGTTGCAATGGGAGTAATTTAGCAACTCATAAAAACTGTATACGTGTTATCTGTTTTTGTAGAGCAATTCCATTTCTGGATATATCTTCTATAGTTGCACTTATACACATAAAAGATTAGTTAATGTAAGCTGGGCATGGAGGCACATCCCTTTAATCCCAGCAAAGGCAGGCAGATCTCTATGAGTTCAAGGCCAGCCTGGTTTACATAATTAGTACTAGGACAGCCAGGGCCATACAGCAAAACTTTGCTGGGAAAAAAAAAAAGTAAATTCACTGCAGTACTGTTTATATGAATAAAAGATTAGGAATGACTTATGCGTGAATAAATAATGATTCTGATTAGATCAATAAACTATATCCACATACTTAAACTTAAAACTCCCATCCAATTATAATATTCATTTACAAGGGGTATAAAGAAAAAAAGTGCATTCTTTGCTTTTAATGATAATATTATATAAATTCAAAGTAGAAAGCTTGTAGCAAGAACAACAGATTTGAAAGGCATTCATACATTTCATAGTTTAATGATACATTGATATATTTTTAATAAAAAGGGTAGTAAACCAAAACTTAATTGTTTTAATACTAACCAAATCATAGATATTAAAAAAAGCAAGAACATACCTTTGTGGCTTCCATTATAATTTTGTTAATTTTCTCTTTATCCAATCCTTCCATTCCTGCTTTATTATCATTTAGTCCCATCCTAAGCAGAAGGCCATCTTTGTAATTGTTATTCTTTTTCTTTGTGTTATCCATGATGTAAACAAAGTAATTTCTTCTTTATTATCTGCAAAGGCATACAAAATAAGCACTTCTTTAAAAAATGTCCACAGAAGGAGTGGAGATAAAAACTTTCATTGGAGTGCTTGCATGGCATGCAAGAGGCTCTAGGTTCAGTCCCCAGCACAGCGTGAAATTGAGAGAGGTGGCCCACCCCTGTAATCTCAGCACTGGGGAGGCAGAAGGGTCAGAAGCCCCGGGTTGTCCTCAGTCAGCTATGTAAGAAATTCACGACTCCTTTGAGTTACATGTAACCCTGAAAAAAACAAAAACATTTCTTAGCTTTTGAAATATTACTACTGAGCTGGAAGGTGGTGGCACATGCCTTTAATCCCAGCACTTGGGAAGCAGAAGCAGGTGGGCCTCTGTGAGTTTGAGGCTTGCCTAGTGTACAGAGTGAGTTTCAGGAAAGCCAGGACTATACAGAGAAACCCTGTCATGAAAAACCAACCAAACAAACAAACAAAAAAGACTACTCAAAATTTTGCTTACTATCTTTCTGGTGATAAGAAAGGAATGAACAGTTTCAGCATGTTTCTTGCCAGCAACTGTGTTTGCTGTCCTACATATACATGCTAAATATCTCTAAAAGACAGATGCTAGTACTCCTAATATATAAAGAAAGGCCTGGTCTCAGAACATGCCTGCTAACATAAATTTGCTGAAAAATAGCTACAAATTGTTAAAAACATATCCAAGTCCAAACCTCAGTTTTCTTCTATCGAAAAGTTTTTTTTAATATCCTCCTCACCCAACCAAATCCTTTAATCCTCTTGTTAAAAAACAAGCAAGCAAGCAAAAACAACAACAAAAAAAACCCCAAAAAATCCACCCAAACAAAAAACTAGGAAACACACACACTCAAACTCAGACAGACAAAAATGGAAATCATGTAATTTATATATATATAAAACAACAACAAACTACCCAACAAAAGAAATCTGAGATAGAAAGCCTACAAAAGTCCTGCTGAGTTCATTTTGTTTTAGACACATAGGGCCGGGTGTGGGGCCTGCCCTGAAGGATGGTTAATACACCCGGTGAGAAATACCTTGGATGAAGTTAATTTGCAGGTGCAAGCAGATACCAAGCACAGAGGGCTTGTTTAGAGCTGGGAACTTGCGTCCTAGCCCCCTCAATAGCAGACATCAAGCACAGAGGGCTTGTTTAGAGATGGGAACTTGCGTCCTAGCCCCCTCAATAGTAGACATCAAGCACAGATGGCTTGTTTAGAGTGGGGACTTGCGTCCTAGCCCCTCATAGTAGACATCAAGCACAGATGGCTTGTTTAGAGTGGGGACTTGCGTCCTAGCCCCCTCAACAGTAGCTTGTACTGCAGAGGCACTGTGCATGCTGCTGCATCTCTGAAATCATGTGTGAATCCGTCCTGTTTGGAGGACACTGTTTCTTGGAGTCCTCCATTCCCTCCTGCTCTTACGCTCTTTCTGTTTCCTCTTCCCGATAGCTCCCTGAGCCCTGAGGAGACAGTTTGATGAAAACATCCATTTAAGACTAAGGAATCCAAAATGTCTCCCTCACTACACATTCTCTAGTTATGGTTCTCCGTTCTTGCCTGCTGCAAAAAGTTGTTCCTCTGATGATGGCTGAATGTTATAGGCGGTATTATATTGCTATGATTCTTTTAGAACAGTGGTTCTCAACTCCTTTGACAGCAGAATGATCCTTTCACGGGGGTCACCTAAGACCATTAGAAAACAGATATTTACATTACAATTCATAACAGTAGCAAAATTACAGTTATGAAGCAGCAACAAAATAATTTCATGGTTGTGGTCACTACAGCATGAGGAACTGTATTAAAGGGTTGCAGCATTAGAAAGATTGAGAAGCACTGCTTTAGAAGAACAATAGTATTCAGTTTCCCTTAGTAGTTGGTTTCCATATGGCTCCTCAAATGGCTTTTAGTGTTGGCTTTTCCTCCCACATTCCCTCACTTCTCCTTTCCTCTCTCCATTTAGTTCTTCCACTCTAGTCTCATCATTGCCTCTTCATAACAATATATCCTAAATCCCCTTCCTTGGGAGATCCTCTCCTTCCCCCTAGTCCCTTACTTGGCACCTAACGTCTGTGATTATACAAACTATGAAACACATATTGAAAGCTTAAAAGATAATATCCACATATAAGAAAAAATATACAATAATTGTCTCTTTGGATCTGGGTTTCTAGCTTCATCCATGTATCTGCAAATATAATAACTTTTTAAAAATAGCTGAATAATATCATATCCTGTAAATGTACCACATTTCATTATCCATTTACCAGTAGATGGACAACTAGGCTGTTGTAAATTTCTGGCTGTTATGAATAGAGCAGCAATGAACAAGTATCTCTGTGGTAGGAAGGAGAGGTCCTTTGTTTATATGCCCAGAACTGGTATAAATGGATCTTAAAGTAGAATTATTTTCTAGCTTCAGGAGGAACCACCACACTGATTTCCATAATGGCTGTACATGTTTGCACTCCCACCAGCAATGAATAAGGGTTCCCTTTTCTCCACATCTTCACCAGCATGAGCTGCCACTTGTTTTATTGATCTTAGTCATTCTGACAGGTGTAAGATGAAATCTCAAAGTAGTTTTGATTTGCATTTTCCTGATGACTAAGGATGCTGAACACTTCTTTAAGTGTTTCTCAACCATTTTTTTCATCTTTTGAGAACTGTACTTAATTCTGTAGCCCATTTTAAATTGGAATATATATATATATATACACACACACATGCATATATATGTATATTCAGATATGTAATTGGTAAAGGTTATGTTCATTCAATTCTAAAAAGTTTTTTAGTTTCCTTCTTGATTTTTGTCTCGACCCACTTTTCATTCAATGGTGAGTTGCTCAGTGTCTGTGAGTTTGTAGGCTTTCTGTTATTGATATCAAGCTTTAACCCATGGTGGTCAGATAGGATGTGGGGTCTTATTTTAATTTTCTTGTATCTGCGAGAATTACTGCTTTGTGTACATAGTGCACATAGTGATTTCAAAGACAAGCTGGTCCACATAATGAGTTCCAGGACAGCCGTGGATACATAGTGAGATGCTATCTTAAAAACAAACAAAACACCTACAAAGCAAAACAAAGGAAGAGAAAGAATCTAGATCCGTGCTGCTTGTCAACTCATACAGTTTTCTAATATTCCTCTTTTACCACTCTCCAGCCACAATGTCCTCCCGGCACATTCTAGGCTGGAGACCTTTGGCCTTGGCTGTTCTCTTGTCCTGTGTGGGACTTCATGTGTGTCAAATATCATCTCACATCTCTATCAAGCCTTTGGTTAAATGTTGCCTTCTCACTGAGGGTGGCATCCCCTGACTTCCCAATCTTAAATCACTGTCTGATTACATCTACGTCAAAGACAACATTATTAGAGTAAGCCAACTGTTACACACTGCATCCTAAACATTCTCTAAAAGCTTGGTCTCTAAGGCAGAGACTTGAAGAGTGGTGCAGCTTTTAAAGGAAAGGGGTCTAATGGGGTCCTTGGGGGGTGAACCCTACAAGATGATAGTGGTCTTTGCTTTCTCTTAGTCATGCCTCCACCAGCTCCTTACCACGGTTACAAAGCACCAGTCATGGACTTGAATCTCTAGAACTGTGAGCTGAAATAAACCTTTTCTCCCTATGAGATGCCCACCTCCAATGTTTGTTAGGGTAAGACTAAAATGACTAATAAGTAAAACACACTAAGTTTTAGTATATTTGAATCACCATGATTTTTTTTTACATTATCTACATTACTGAATGACTCTGCTTTGCATTTTATGAGTATCTATTTTTTTTTCAATTAAAAAAAATCTTAATAGTTCTGACTATCCCCTTTTCATTACTTCTTCAGTGAGCATATTTGGAAATCTCTGGTGAAGATGTTCATATAACATCACAAGTATAATAACTTCCTGTTTTTACAAGAAGTAAATCTTATTTCTAATGGCTGTATTAGGTGGGCAGATAGGTCGAGTGCTCAACATGATGCCTGACATGTGAGAAGCTCTCAGTCAACACTTATTCTTACTGCAGTCATGGATGCTAAGCCAGAGCTGTGAAGATTACTCCAGGTAAGTGTGCCCAAGGAAAACCAAAGCTCACAGGTTAACACACATGGATTTGAGCACCTGGAATATTGACCCAAGTACTCTGAATGGATTTAAAAGTAAATGGGAGGAGTGCTGGAACCATACGGCTGCAGGCCGCAGGAAGGGACGGAGGGAACCAGCTCTGAAGGGCGAATGGGGCTAGAATAGGCTCCTGGCTGGAGCTTGTTTTCATCTCCAATACACCGTGAGGAATCAAACCCCATATGGAGAAAACCTCAACCTATCTTAGACTATTATTTTTACAACTCCCAAATGTTCAAATAGTTCATGTTTTCATTCAACAGATTAAATACCTAGTATAATATTGTAGACTGTAGTTATTCTTTTACAATCTAATTTAAAACACAATGAATTATGACTATTCTAAATTTAACTTTTCTAATTAATAATCAAATAAATCTTTTTTTTGGCTTTTCGAGTCAGGGTTTCTCTGTACAGCGTTGGCTGTCCTGGACTCACATTGTAGACCAGGCTGGCCTCAAACTCACAACAATCTGCCTGTCTCTGCCTCTCTGAATGCTGGAATGTACGCCACCACACCCAGCAACCTAATAATTTTTAATAATCATAAGTTCTCTTTTTCATTTTTACTTATTCTAAATCATATTTTAAGCTTTAAAGATAAGTCACAACCTCAAGACATTAACAGATTATTTTTCCATGTTTCCCTCAAACTATTTTACATACTCATAAATGCAACCATATGTCCACAAGTTTTATATAATGGGGATGAAAACACAGATGCAAAATTGTGTTTTCAAAATGCAAAACACTTGGCATTTTGAATTCATTTTTAAAATCTTTGTAAAATGAGATGCAAGAAAGAAAGAAAGAGCAAGCCAAGGATGTATTACAGTGGCATAAAGACTTGTTTAATAAACTCGAG